TGCGGGCCGCGGCGGGAGGCAGAGCCCGCGCAAGCAGTCCTCTGCGCTTGTTACCTTGTATCCGTACTGGGGCGGCGGGTTCTTCGGGGCCCGCTGTACCTGTCTGAGGGAAAACGCGCGAGAAGAAATGGTACAGGCGTCTGCCCGGTGGGACGCAGACAAACGCAAGCTGTGGAAGGGCTGCCCTTTGAAAATGTGGTCACTGGGAATTTGGTTTGGAAAAAAAATGTTATACTTAACTGGATTATAAATTCTTTCGGCTGCAGATGTGCAAAGATGAGCAGGATGGGAAACCTATTTTCGAGAGGAATTTCTGGATGCTAGGGTAGAGGAAAGTATGGCAGCCTCCTCCTAGGACGTATCCTCCACAAGTTTTTAAAAGTTACAACATTTAAACTATCTGCCTCCTCCTTATACATTTTGTAAATAGGTGAGTGCATTCCAACCTCCAAGGTGACTTATTTAATACCAGAACTTCACAAGCACTAGCCCCCTGACTGTTACAAGTGAAGAATATCCAGAGATATTACAGATGTTTCCAGAAACTGCATGTGCTCAAGAAATTAGGTCAGAGGAGAACAAAGATTGACTTTCATGCAAGCTGAGCTAGGAGCTAGTTTGAAGCAATACAGGCAGTTTCCAAAATGTTAATCTGTTATCATTTTCTCTGAGAGACAGAATTTGCTTCTCACTCCAATTGCCAGAAAATCCCACGTCACAGCTAATGCTGACGCTCCTTTCTACAGTCCCACCCTAATCTCGTTACATCATACCAATGTCATGCCTGGGAGCGAGAGTAGGAACGACGTCAGCCATCAGTGCCCTGCGCAGTTTAGCTGCTCTCTGTGCATCCATCTCACAGGAGCACAGTCCTACATGAATGCATTGCAAATGCAGTTTAAGAAAAGTTACATCTTTCTCACTGGGAAGCAGAATGGTTATAGGAAATTGAATTCTCTGAAGATGAATTTTCAAAGGAAGTGAATTTTGCATTTTGTTCTGAAGTTGGAAGATTTATGGTTCCTGTGCTCCACAGCTGTTTTCCTATTGCCTGAATAGCCATCATCTGTCTTCCTGAATCTTACCCCGGTGGCTGACAGTCCCCTGTGCTGATGGATCATATCTGTAATTATCACAGTCACAGACAAGCACTTCCTCAGGTAACCTAAGCCACATGTTGAGGATTTTGGACTATTAGGATCAATAGTGATCTCATGGTCTCAGTGAAGTAAATGGGAGTTTGCTTTTGACTTGAGTGGATAAGGATTTCACTCCAAGACAGTTTTAGTTTGTGTTTCACTGCAAGCCAGGGAAGCAGAGCAGAACTCTGGATGAAGCGTGTACTCCTTCACCCGCTACAGCGTGCATCAAAGGGAGCTTTTTCACAGTCGTTAGCTGCATTCTTAACTACAGTGAATTTTCAGTGATAGTCTAGAGATCAGTACAGCTAAATCAAGAGTCCAGCAGGCTGGGTCCAAAAGCTGTTATTCTGTCACCATAGCTCTTGGATGACTGGACCAGGGAGCAGAACTACTTTGTTCTCCTACCTTCCCCAAGCCACTGAGACTCTTGAGCCTGATGTCTCTGAAAGCAACTTTTAGATTTCTGTATTCTTTACTGAACAATTTTCTCAGCTGAGGAGAAAAAAATTAGATCACTTTTAATGGTAAATTAACAAATGCAGTCACCACATACTCAATCCTCCTCCTCTTTGACTTGAAACTAATGTTCTTGCTTCTCTTTTTCTAGCATCTTTACTGGGCTTCCTCTAGCACTTTCTCATATTTATGAGGTTTGTGCTCTACTGTGACTTTTCTGCCTGAATGTCGCAATGCATTGGTAGAACTGAAGCAGCTTTCCAAACAAAGACGTAAAGCCTGCACAGCTCACTGGCACCCAGGAAGACAAAGACATGGGGTACACCTCATGCCGGGCCCCCCTGAAGGCTGGCATGTTGTGTGTCCACAAAAGCTCAGAGGTATCAGTGGAGCTTAGCATATTTTTTGGACAAATAATTTGTTTACTGACAAATTAAGTTACTCAAGAGTATTAGTGAATTAATGATCAATGCTGCAAACAATTTGATTCACAAAGTCTAAACAAAAATGCATTTTGACATTTTGACATTTTTTATACAGGCCAAAAAGAAATACCAGAATTTGTAGTATATGTCGAATCAATTAAAATTTTTCTTCAATCGAAAGGCACATTTATTGCCCAGTCACCCATCTGAAAAATCAGGTTAGAGCATTTAGGCTGAAGAGTTGACAAAATAAATATAAAAGGAAAAAAATGGAAAATCAGTTATTCTCACACGTCTAGCTGGTTCCTGAGATTATTGGATAGCAAAGTTTGGTAGCTCACAGTTGCTCGGGAGCAACTTGATAAAATGTTGGCCAAAGTGGAAATATTGTTAAAGCTGTAATTCTTAAGAAACACCGCATGGAGGTGCTGCCTGCCTTCAAAATGAGCAACTGAACAACTTCCCGTTTCCCTTTCAGGGTTTGAATGAAAACGGCTTTCAGTGGGGAAATTTCACCAGCAATAGGGCAGGGAAGAAGATACAAGCATATATTAGATATGATCTTTCACAGTGCTACCGGACATAAGCAATTAAACCCAAGGGTAATACATGAGTGGCCTTCACACGATCTCCAAATACAGCAGGAACTTACATGGCATTTTACAGTGACTGCTTGATGATAATTTGTTCTTGCCATTCCAGTTTACAAGCCAGAGCATGCAACTCGGGCTTTGTGTGCAATCAGGCTTTGGGAACGAGGCCTGCAAGCTGTACAGCTAGCTGCCTCTCACTCCAGAGATGAGGTGTTATTCCGGCTCTAAGGGAACAACTCGAGCCCTATGTGTTATACCGTCCCTGCTGCCACTCTGAAGCGGTAGCAGAATTTCTTCTAGCTAAGCACAACCTCAGTGGAAGTTACGCTCTGAGTGTCTAATGAAAAACATACAGAGTATCTACTTTTGATTAAGGAGGCAGCCCTCACTCAGGTGGACTCCCGGCTTTCTAATCACCGCTGGGGGGTGTTTTTCTTTTCTTGGAGAACATTTTGGTAGCTGAATTTCCACCATAAAACTTGCTAATCAAGGGAGGGGAGTGGCTTAGTAAATTCATGCTTCCTCACACCTAACAGTACTCTCTCTGCACTCTGTCCCCACAACATTTTTAAATGCATTTTTTTCTTATTCTACAGTCAGAAACTGCCTTTTGAAAGATAAATAGTGCCAAGGATGAAGTAGTGCTAGGCCCTGAGAGTGCACTTACTGCAAAGAGAAGGTACTAAAGCCTCAATGAAATTTCTGGAGAGAGCAAACAAAAAAAAGTGATGGTGGTACATCTGTGAGACTAGCTATTAAGCCTTGAGGGATGGGGCACGGGCAAGCAGAGAAACAGGATCGACCATGAATGGGGTCGGGCAGGAGGACTGTAACAAGTTCTTCCCAGTGAGAGTGGTCAGGCAGTGGAAGAGGTGCCCAGCTGTCCATCTCCACAGAGGCTGTGGAAGGCTGTGAGGTATCTCCATTCTTGCAGACTTTCAAAGTTCAGCTGGACACCACCCTGAGCAATCTGATCTAACTGTGAAGTTAGCCTTGCTTTGAGCAGGAAGCTGGACTAAACACCCTCCAGAGGTCCTTTCCCACTTAAATTTTTGTGATTCTATGATTTGGAAAAACAATATCAAGAGATAACAAGTGAATCAGAGGAGGAGCCCTCCGAGTGTGTGAAAGGAGCTGTGAGGCCCCAGCAGCAGGCATTTTTGCCTGCTCTTTGGTGGGAGCCAAATGCAGTAATGCTACTGCCTGGAAGTCCTGCTCTGACTCATCCCAGGACACATTTCTGCAAGGCACAGCAGAAAAGGAGAAGTGACTGCTGAGCCCTGAATGGGGGGGAGGGGAGCTGGCCCCATGGAAGCTCAGAACAGGGAATTTTAGTCTTACTCATCATATTATTTTTATATTTGGTTTTTCAGATGTAAACCTCAGTGTTTCTGTCAGCATGTTAACTCTGTGTGCACCACAAGTTTGGCCACTAGCCCCAGTGACTCCTTTACATCTGCTTCCACGCACAGATGAACAGCTTCCAGCTGGGAGCTCGGTCTGACCCACTGCAGTTTGCTACTATTTGTAAGGAATAAATGGACTGCCTGATGACTGCTATTTAGGCTGGGCAGACTCCAGTATCTTGCTGGAGAAAGAAGGAGAAAGATGGGCCTAGTCGGGGAAAGATATAACCAGGGAGCAGGTTAGGGCAGATGTGTGAAATGTGGCAGATGAGCCAAAGACGATTCATGGGAAATTCAGTGAGCTTCATCCTGAAAAAGTGCTCTACCTAGTCCTTCTAAGGGAGGAAAGGAGGGGAAGTCACGTATATGGCCATGAACAATGTGTAGCGCTGGAAGGTTGTAAAGCAGAAGACCTGCATGGGTTCTTTCTTTGTTAAGGTTTCAGAGTTGAATAATACAGAGGCCACAATGACCCTGCTGAGCTGGACCTAAGTATGTGTTTGATACACAGCCTTTTTCTTATATACAAAAGTAATTAATGCTGAGTTCTGACCATTAAGGAAGGTTTTCTTATGTGCTTGATGCTCAACAGTTAAAATCACTGTACCCTGTTTTCTGCAGCCTAACAATCTTCTTCGTGTCTACAGGGTACAGCATGATACCTTTCAGTTCACAGAGAACAGGCTGCAGTTCTGTATGCGTGTTTCAATATCAGTGTTGCAGACATACAAATATTTTATAACCAAGATTCACACTTTCATTCCTGCATAGAAGGAGATCTGTACTCTCCCCAGTGTGTGCATGGTGAGGTCCATATTCTGAACACTAGTGCCAAGATTCACACTCCCAGCTATAGTGAGAACAGTGAGACCTATGCTGTCACTCATCCTGAACGCTGTAGGCTCCACACTGTACAATGCTACATTCCCTTTAAGTGGAGCAGCAATCACACGGCAGGATTATGAGATTGGTGATTACACTCTAAGGCATGATGTGTAAGCAAGGATTAAATACCAGGGCACTACAATGAAATGAGTGACTGAAGCTCATTGAGGGCA